CATCACAATGCCTGGCTGCTTTTTTGTTGTAGTTGTCATTGTTTTAGCAGCCCCCGGGCTATATTCGAACCCTCCAGCCCCAGTGTATGTGACTGGTGCCCTAACAACTGAGCTATGGGTGCCAAGGCCAGAAGGCCAATGTTAGGGACAGCACCTGTGGCTCAAGGAGTTGGGCACCAGCCCCATATACCAGAGGTGGCGGGTTCAAACCTGGCCCCAGCCAAAAAAACAAAAAAACTGCCAGAAGGCCAATGTTAAACATTGACCAGCATGCTGCTTTTTCTCTTCTCTTCTCTTCTCTTCCTCTTCTCTTCCTCGACAAAGTCTCTCACTTTATTGCCCTCGGTAGAGTGCCGTAGCATCACACAGCTCAGAGCAACCTCCAACTCTTGGGCCCAGGTGATTCTCCTGCCTTAGCCTCCGGAGTAGCTGAGACTACAGGCCTTCGCCATAACACCCGGCTATTTTTTTGCAGTTTGGCCAGGGCTGGGTTCAAACCCACCACCCTCAGCATATGGGGCCGGCGCCCTACCCACTGAGACACAGGCACCACCCCTTCTTTTCTTTTTCTTTTCCTTCTTTCTTTTTTTTTTTTTCCAGATAGAGGCTCACTCTGTGCCCTGCTTAGAGTACTGTGGCATCATCAGAGCCCACAGCAGCTTCAAACTTCTGGGCTCCAGAGATCCTCTTGCCTCTACTGAGTAGCTGACTATAGGAGCTGCCACAATAATTTTTCTATTTTTATTTTAGTTCGTTTATTTTATTTTTTTCATTTTTTGGAAACAGAGCCTCAAGCTGTTGCCCTAAGTAGAATACTATGGCATCACAGCTCACAGCAACCTCCAGCTCCTGGGCTTAAGCGAGTCTCTTGCCTCAGCCTCGCAAGCAGCTTTTTGGGTTATAGCTGTCATTGTTGTTTGGCAGGCCTGGGCTGGATTCGAACCCGCCATCACAGGTATATGTGGCTGGCACCTTAGCCACTTGAGCTACAGGCGCCAAGCCTATAATTTTTCTGTTTTCAGTAGAGATGGTCTCTGCTCTTGCTCAGACTGGTCTCAAACTCCTGACCTCAAGCGATCCACCTACCTCGGCCTCCCAGAGTGGTAGGATTAAAGGCATGAGCCACCATGCCCCTCTACCAACATACTTCCCAAAAGTTTCCATGTGGATCCTGGCATAAGCATCTTGGGTCCTTTCCCCTCTGATGCATCTGCCACCAGGAAACGTGCTGCAAAGGCAGCAGATAAGGTGTACAGGAGAATGGGGGGGCTAGAGCAGCACTTGGGAGGCTCCCTCCCGCCCTACACTGTGAGGATAGTCCAACAAGTGCCCCACTGCCCCTGCCTAGCCGCACACTCATGCCCTCTCTCTTCCCCCAGCACATCCGAGTGGGCTGGGAGCAGCTGCTCACCACCATCGCCCGCACCATCAATGAGGTCGAGAACCAGATCCTCACCCGAGACGCCAAGGGCATCAGCCAGGAGCAGATGCAGGAGTTCCGGGCTTCCTTCAACCACTTCGACAAGGTGAGTAGCTCCCTCTGCTTTCTTGGACTTGGACTCTTTCTTCCCCATTGTCACCATCCCATCCTTACTCCCCTCTGTCTTTTTATCTGTCAGTTTGGTTTGTTCATGGTCATAGTTGTTGCTGCTCACAGGGGTGGACAGAGCCCCCACTGGCAGGGTGTGACTGTCAGCACCTGACTTCATGTCCTGCCCTCTGGGGTTACATCCTTATCAGCCTGCCAATGAGACCCTGAAACAGTCAAGCCGTTAAACACAGTTTTAAAACTCGGATTTAGTTTGGCAGCCCCTTAGGAGGGCCCTGAGCAATAGGGCTTGCCCCAGACTCCCTTACTGAACTATCATGTCACCTTCCTGGCTTTAGTGAATAGAAATGTGCAGCCTCATCTCTGCACCATCAGGCAGCCCTGGAGATCCCCTCAGGATGGGGTGCAGTTCCCTCTCCAATCCCAAACTCAAGACAGAGAGCTTCTTGTACCCTCTCACAAGTCCTGGTGAGGGAGCCTGGCAGAGGGAAGGATACAAGGCCCCCTACCACCACCTGCCCCTTCTGTCCTGATCATCTCCTTGTCCATGTCACCTCTAACTCTGTGTTTCCCCCCTTCTCCTGGCGTCCCCTTCCCCCTGCCCTTTGCATGTGGCCCTGGCCCTTCATCCTGGTCTTCACACCACCCTTCCCACACACCTGCCTGTGGATGGCCCGGCAGGACCATGGCGGGGCACTGGGGCCCGAGGAGTTCAAGGCCTGCCTCATCAGCCTGGGCTACGACGTGGAGAACGATCGGCAGGTACGCGCACCCCTGGGCCCCAGCGGACCGTGCATTAACTGCTCTTCTCTTTCTCTCTCTCCTTCTCTCTCTCTCTCCCTCCCTCTTGCCATTCCACCCCCTGCCATCCTGTGTGCCATTTCATGGCTCTCTTGCCTCCCTGCCGTGTCTTTCTGGACACCTTCTCCCTTACCTGGTCTCTTGGGGCCTCTGTCTCCCCTGCTCCCTGCCACTGTCCTGTCTGTCTGCTGTGTACACGGGGCGGCCCCTCTTGCCTACTCTGGGCCTGGCCTCCTCTGCTATGCCTGCGTCCTGGGAGCAGAAGCAGACAGGCAGCATGGACTCCGATGACTTCAGGGCTCTGCTTATCTCCACAGGATACAGCCTGGTATGCAGCCTCTGCCTCCCCCTGGCCGCTCCAACAACTCCTCCTTTCTTCCAACCCTTCCTCCTCCTCCTCCTCCTCCTCCCCCACCTTCCCTCTCCTTCAGAGCTTCCATGTCCTCGGGACACTCCTACACCCGAGCAGCGCAGCCTTGCCTGCCTCTGCCTCTGTTGCACCTGCTGGGCTGGGGTCCCTCCGATGACTCCTGGAGCCTCTTTTCCTTCCCTAGAAGTCTCCAGAGAGACGGGGCAGCCCTCTTGCACTCTTCCCCCTTTTCTTTCTTTTTCTCTCTCTTTCTTCCCCACCCTTCAAAGCTAAGTTGTGTGGGCTGAGGGGCAGTAGATACCAACTCCCCACTATTCAAGACTGTGGGGAGGAAGGATGCGGAGGGTCCAGGCTCCTCAGCCTGGGCCAGCCAGAGCAAGGCAAGCTCAGCTGGGAACCAAGGCTACTAGAGGTGGGCTGGCAACATGGGGTAGGGGTTTGTATGTAGTCAGGTCCTGCTCTCTTGGGGGCTTTCCTGTGAGATTCCACCAATACGGGCCTGACTGCCCCTGTCCCACCAAATGTTGTGTCCTCTGCCCCCACCCCCACCTCACAGGGTGATGCTGAATTCAACCGCATCATGAGTGTGGTCGACCCCAACCACAGTGGCCTTGTGACCTTCCAAGCCTTTATTGACTTCATGTCTCGGGAGACCACTGACACAGACACAGCTGACCAGGTCATCGCCTCCTTCAAGGTCCTTGCAGGGGACAAGGTGAGCCAGACTCCTCTGAGGTACACAGGGGCCAGGTGCAGGGGTCCCTGCAACAGGCATTGTGGCCAGCAATGAGGGTGCAAAGCTGGGTGGGCCAGTGTGTGGGTGGAGACAGCTCAAAGTCCTGCCTGCTGTCCCCAGAACTTCATCACAGCTGAGGAGCTGAGGAGAGAGCTGCCCCCTGACCAGGCTGAGTACTGCATCGCCCGCATGGCACCGTACCAAGGCCCTGACGCTGTGCCTGGCGCGCTTGACTACAAGTCCTTCTCCACAGCCCTGTACGGCGAGAGTGACCTGTGAGGCTCCCAGAGAGACCAGGACCAAACACCCCTCCTCACTGCCTCTGGGAGGGGCCCAGGGCAGCCACACCTCACGGCCTGATTCTTCTGACTCTGTATCTATGCAAAGCACTCTCTGTCAGTCCTCTTGGGGGTGGGCGGGTGGGCAGGGAGGTGCTGGGGCAGGCTCTCTCCTCTCTCTCTGTTGGTTGGCCAGGAGGTTCTTTCCCCCTCACCAGGTAGGGGTCAGGGAGACTTTGGGGGTCAGTGCTCCTGGTCTGGTAGATGATACATATGATTTGTTGTGTTTTTTTTTAACCTATGTGGAGGGGATAATGGACCCCCACAGCAAAACAGTTCCCCTCTGTGCCCTGGGGACACCTCTCCACACTGAGGTCCCTTCCATTTCCCTTACCACCACCCGGGTCCCTTCAGGGCCTCCCACATCCAGGCCAAAGCCCCATGTGCCTTGTCCAGGAACTGCTCAGTCCCTACAGAGGGTCCAGGAGAGGGCGCCACAGCTGCCTGATGGGACCGGAACCCCATTTACTCCCTCTCTCCTTGCCCCTGCCCTGCCTGATCTGTGATGGCTGGGAGGAGGGCCCAGCTCAACACCCCTTTTCTGTAACAGAGAAATGGGGTGGCAGACTAGGCTTCACTCAACCCCAGCCAGCCCCCAGCCCTGGACTTGCTTTGTCTGGACTTGTGTGTCTCAGAATTTCTAAGGACCAAAAAAAAAAAAAACAAAAACAAAACAAACAAAAAAGAAAAAAAAAAGCCAAAACAATGAAAACAAAACAAAAAAAAATCCACAAAAAAACCTATAAAAAAAAAGAATTAAAAGCTTTCAGAGAATTACTATTTACTTTATTAACTTACGGATTTATTATATAAATATATATTCACCTAGCAACATATCTCTGCCGTCTCTTGCTCTCATAATGAAGACATAGCTAATTTGCTGCCCTCCAGCCCCTTCCTGATTTTCCTTTGTTTGCCGTTAGGCTTGGGTCTCTGGGGACCCTCAAGGTGGAGGTGGGCAGCTGGCCTGGCTGCCTGGTAGTTGATGGTTTTGTTCACCCCTCTCCCCTTTTTTGAGTTTATTCTAATTGATTTTTTTTTCTCGGTTTCTGGATAAACCACCCTTTGGGGACAGGATAATAAAACATGTAATATTTTTAAGAAGTATTTCTACAGTGTCCGCTCTTTCTCTGTCCTGTCTCTGTTCTCCATGTCCTAGGAGAGCAGTGCCAGAACATGTCTTCCCAGAGCAAGGCAGGGCCTGTGAGCCCATAATCCCTGCTCCCGTGAGTGTGTAAAAGTAAGAAGGTACTGTTGGGGACTGCCTCGCTCCCGTGAGTCTGTAAAAGTAAGAAGGTACTGTTGGGGACTGCCTCTTAGAATGGCATCCAGCACCGTGGACTTGCTTTAAATAGTCCGCGTGAGAAAGGTGCTGCTGCTACCCTGTTTCCAGGAGGGGAGACACAGTGCAATGAAGTCACCGAAAGGGCCAGCAGCCAACCCCAGGCAGGCTGGCCCAGTCAGATCTTCATCTCACGCCAGGCAGGGAGGTGCAGAGCCAAAGGAGGGTGGTCTTCTCAGCTCCCCAGCTCCTGGGATCCTAGGAGAAGGTGGCCACCTCCATCCACTGTGTGAGAGAAGGGAAACAGGCTTTGGAGCATGGGGCTCCCAGGATGGCACCTGAGTCACCCTGTCCTTCCACCCTGGGCTCACCTGTCTATGGGTGAGGCAGATGACCCCCTCACCCCCATCCAAGTGCTGGCTGCAGTGACCTGTGCAGAGAGGGGCAGGGTGAGTACCCGCCACCTGCAGTTCCCAGCTATGGGCTACATCCTCCCTGTGCCTCCCATGCCTGGTGGCACTCACGGAAGATGTAAGTGAGCTGAGCTGCACAGGACACGAAACGCTCAAAGTCCACACGTAGACGGCTATCTCGGTAGCGGCTGGTGAGGGACTGGGTCAATTGGTTGTTTAAGTGGAAGCCTGGCGGGGCGGGGGAGGCGGGGTGTGTGCTGCCTTTGAGCCCCACTGCCCCGAGGATGCCATTGACACCAGAGGCATCAAATCTCAGCTCGCCCCCATCCAGCCGTGTAACCATGGCTGCTCCCTTCACTTTTCTGGGCCTCAGTTTCCCCATTTATCAAATGAGAACTATGAAGGCCCTGACCCCATAGGGTTGTGTGAAGATTAAATGGACTAATCCTGCAGGACATCCCTCCCACTCTGCCCCACCACCCTGCTCAGGAGCACTGGAGAATATTCCCATGCAGCAAAAACACTTGTCAGCTGCATATGGAGTCAGTTTCTTTTTTTTTTTTTTTGCAGTTTTTGGCCAGGGCTGGGTTTGGACCCGCCACCTCCGGCATATGGGGCCAGCGCCCTACCCTTTTGAGCCACAGGCACTGCCCAGAGTCAGTTTCTTTAAACTTCACATCAGAGACAGTTTCTAAAGGTTCCAAATCATCCTGCTGTGGAATCTCAACAAAGGCTTTTAAAAGCCCAAACAGTGCTTTGAGCCCTTCTAAGACTCAAGGTCACCTGATGACCCTCCCCTCCTTAGTCCCTGATACCACTCGGTCTGAGGGCAGTTTGTGAGCTTCAGCTGTTTGTTCGCAAACACATATTTGTCCAGTGCCCTTAAAGACACTGGGTGCTGCCTAACAGGAATTCAGGCAGCCTGCAGCCTCCTCCCAGCTGTGTGACCTGCCCGCAGGTGGAGGGTGCTATGCTGAGGGCTGTGCTTCAGCCAGGGGAGTGGAGGAACCTGAGAAGGGACCAAGAGCCCTTTAGTTGCCCCTGTTGAAATTTCCTTCTGAGAAGTTCTCAGAGCACTTTATCAATTTTCTTTCCTTTTTTTTTTTTTATGAGACAGAGCCTCAAGCTGTCACCCTGGGTAGAGTGCTATGGCATCACAGCTCACAGTAACCTCCAACTCCTGGGCTCAAGCGATTCTCCTGTCTCCACCTCCCAAGTAGCTGGGACT